AGAGAGAGAGAGAGAGAGAGAGAGAGATCAAACAAGCTGCAAGGCCAACTTTATCCGGAGATAAATGACAGCTGCCAGATTGTCTGTCCTTATGGAATTTCCGATGATAGCAGGCCGGATTAAACACGACCTTCAACACTGTCCAAACGTTTAGCAATTAATTTCATTTCCGTGTACGCAGTTCTTTAATCGTTTTATCCGTCTGACTTTCTACTCTTGGACGTCTTGAGGAAACAGGGCCGTCTTCTTGCAGGACGTCCGTAATTTTTCGTGGACCTGAATCTATGCCATACACTTTATACCCCAGATAGGGACGTATTATATTTGTCGACATGTGAACTTAGAGCAAGAATGATCACGTAAATTTTGTCGAAGTGTTTATTCACCAATATCGACGAAAAAACTTTTATTTTCAACTTTATACGCCAATCTTTTCAGAACGAATTAAAGTTCTTTAGTGAAGGGAAACCATTAATTTGCCGAGAGTGTAATGTTAAGGTATCCTGAAGAAAATTTTCGTAGGTTCATCTTTGAGGCTTGACAGAAACCTTAAGATTTAGCAAGTAAAATATAATCACATACACTCTGCATACATCTCTCTTTTCTCTCACGGGTGGGCGTATGTACAGGTTGGGAGATAAACGAAAGGCTGACCACCATAAACCTTATACGCTTGTAGCGTTTTGTTGGAAAAAATCTGGAAAACGTACGTTCTGCTGGCATCTGTCACAGTGCGTGTAGTCATTTAATTCATCTTCCTGGGAGTTTGCTCTCTCTCTCTCTCTCTCTCTCTCTCTCTCTCTCTCTCTCTCTCTCTCTCTCTCTCTCTCTCTCTCTCTCTCTCTCGATAAGACTTCGCTGAAGGACGCCTCATCGACAGAAATACATATGTAACAACATGGTTTGTACAAAATGTAATAAAAATACCGCTGACCAAGAGCACTCGCGTCAGGCCTACAAACAAATCAGAATGTGTCACGGCGCGGTGGAATCAGGCGCTCGTCAGTTCTGGGTGAAACGGTGTTATTAGTATAATAATCATAAAGCTTGCTCATTTGTCTTGCTTTCGATTAACAAGAAAAAAAACACCCAAAAGCTCGC